CACAGAAAAGATCGTACTTCGGAAAGACGTATATATACGTCCGGAAATTTATTATTATTTTTTTAAATTTTGAAAAACTTTTTAAAAATCTTAATATTTGATCTCTTTTTTGACTAAATTTTCGATTTGAAATTTTATCTAAATTTTCCAAAGAGAAGAATAAGTACAAGTTTAATGTTAGTTTTCACTTCAATAGAGAGAATATGCAATTGGAAAATAATAAAAACTAATATATTTGAATTGTAATTTTTTATGTTATCTGCAACTTGTTCTCTTAATTGAATAGCATAATCAATTTTTAAAATATAACTATTATTTTGAAAAATTAATAATAAAAAAAACTACTAAAAAATTACGCCACAAAAGTCTTCGTACACTTCGAAAAAGTCTCAACATAGCTTTAAATACTGTCTTTTTTTCTTAATTTAATAGTATGGTACATTTTAGCATCCGTAATAACTTTGAAAAACATCTTGGTACAGATTTCATCACAATTTTTTGTAATGCCTGCATTGATGTTGTTACTGTTTTTACTTCACATTTTGTTTTTTGTCATGTTTTCTTTTTTAGAAAATAAAATTCTGACGAAATATGTTATACTAGGTTTAAATTAGGTGATTTAGGAGGCTTTTTCTGAGAATTTGAGACAGTTCTATAGACACCAGCGGCATACATTAAGAGCAGTGCTCTTGGTGTCATTATCTTGTTAAAAAATGAATTCGTCTACAATATCCAAATTCTGATCGCATAATTTCAAATTATTCTTTAAAACGTTTAAATAGATCTCATGATTCACAATCCCATCAAAAAATACCAAATTACCTAACACTGAAGCCGATTTACACCCCTGTTGTAAATTGAATTCTTTAATATAGATGGCGCTGCAAGTCAGCGAAGAGTATATATACTTTGTTTGGCTTGTAGAGGTGTGGTTCTGTTTACGTAATGTTCTTTATGTAATGTCTTCTATGTGTTTCGTCCAATAAACAAAATTAACAAAAGATGGATTTGGACAAATTACTGCAAACATCACTGAATAGGATCGCCTAACTGACCCATGGAAATTAGGATTTAAGGAAAACTACATTATTTGGTGCCCAACGTGGGGCTGTAAGCTCCAATCTACAGAAATCAGGTAGGCGATTATATATATTTTATAAAGATGGAAAAGTCACTAGAAGACGTTAAAGCAAGCAAGAACACCGTTTATCGTTTTTCTTTTAGCAACACTCTACGTCCAAATTANATTACAGAAAACTACAAAAAATAATTAATACATAAATAAACAATAAAATAATTAAAAAAAGTCACAAATATATATATGATGCTTTTCTGTAATCTTTAAAGTGGGTTAAGACCTTAGAGTTAAAATTGTATTTATATATAGTAAAAATTTTAAGTGTCAACATATTCTCTCGTCTCTAACATTGTCATTATTAAATCTGCGAGATAAAATATTTTTATTGTCTTCTTCAAAGAATATTTTCAAATTTTAATATGTATGAGTAAGAATTTTATTTTAAGGTCTTTTTTGGAAAGCATTTTATTACCTTCTACATTCATACTTTTAAACAATAATTTTAAAAATGTGAACATATAATTTTAAGACATTTTTTTGAACTAAGCACAAGTAATGTTTTCTTGTCAAAACTCGTTATTCTACGCCCTATTTGCTGTATCACTGTTTAAGAACACACTTTTTCTGATGTTTTTTTATTGTGTTGTGAACGAGAATTCAATTATTTTTTTCTTACGATTAGAAACATAATATTTTTTTAATCTTTGTCAACGATGGTTATCTAAATTGCATAAATTGGACAAAAAGAAAGTTTTAAATGAATATATTAAAGTATGCTAAAGGAATTAATTTTCAAAGCTTATATAGACTTTAAATATTATCAGTGCCGGTTTATCCATAGGGCACTTGGGGCGGGTGCCCAGGAGCCCGGGGGCCGTAAAGGCCCATATAAGATGGACGTAAGCAGATTT